CGGCCTCATGAATACACTTCTCAGAAGCACTAATATTGCTGGGGACGGTGGCCTACAGCTTTAATCCCAGCAACTTGGAGGCAGAGCCAGGTGGATCTCTGTGAGTTCGAGGCCAGCCTGGGCTACAGAGCGAGATCCAGGACAGGCCCCAAAGCTACACAGAGAAACCCTGTCTTGAAAAACAAACAAACAAAAAAAGCCCCTACTATTGGTCCCAGAGTATCAGTAACTGATACCTCCACCTCTACCCTTGGAGGATGGGCTCAGGGCAGGGCCAGGCTGCCCACGTCCCTGCTTACCTTCCTCAGAGTCTCCACTGTCCTTCTCACTCGCCTCTGACAGGGCAATGTCTTGGTCATCGTTATCAGAATCAATCTGGTCGTCACTGTCATCATCATCCTGGGGCACAGGGTCAAAGGGTACAGGGTCAGAGGTGAGCTGAAGGTCCATGTCTCCCCACCCAGCAGCACCCAGGAATCTCCCTGATCCAAACCTTATCAGAGGTGGACGAGGATGAGGGTGAGGAAACGTGGCTCCTGGGGCCTTCTTCCTCCTCTTCCTCCTCCTCCTCTGCTTCCTCCTCTTCCTCCTCAGTGCTTTCTTGCTCCTCTTCCTCCTTGTCTGAGGCTGAGGATGAGGGTGAGGTGGAGGAAGATCCCGAGGATGAGGACGCTGAGGAAGAGGAGGACACAGACAAGGACTCCTTCTCATCCTCTTCCCCACCACTGTCCAGCTCCAGGGGCCGCGCTGGCCGGCGCCGCACGCCCACGCTTTTGGGGTCCCGCTTGGCGAGTTCGCAGGGGGCATCGGCCATGTCCCGGTCACGCTCCCGTTCCGACTCTGTGGGAACAGCAGGAGTCAGAGCTGAGACGGGGAGATGGGCAGAAGAAGAGGGACGGACAGTCGGCCAGCAGCCGGGAGCGCAAACCTTCATCATCCTCGTCCACCGACGTCGAGGGCCGCAGCCGCTTCTGGTCACCAGAGGAGGCTGTGTCTGGCGGCTCCTTCCTCTTGACCTTGAAGGAGGGCAGGCGGATGGCGCCTCGCAGTCCAATGCCAAGGCCCAGGCCCTCGTAACCCAGGCCCTCGCCCTTGCCCCACGACTCCAGCAGACACGAGGCGATTCGGTCTTTAGGCTTTGGCCTGTCCTCATCCTTGTGCTCACCGGACTTCACGGGCGTCAGCGAGGCCTAGGATGGGAGAGAAGGGAACAGTGACCACAATCAGAGGCACTGCGGTCATCCCCTGCAGGTGGCCCCAGGTCACGGTACACTTTAATCCCACACACCTGGCCACACTGCACTGCCTTCCTGGGGTTCCAGAACCCTGCACTGCCCCTCCATCACGGCCTCCTTAGCAACACGCTACTTACAGCCCAAGTTGTTGGAATAGATGTCACCCCGTGTGGGAGGTGAGAATGTGTGCTCTAAGGCCTCGTCTGCACCACTATCACATGGACCAAGGTCCACACTCAATGGACCTTTACTTTACTATGCCTTAATTCCCTGTGCCCTGTAGGTCCTGCATATTACAAACAGTCCACAGCGTTTAAGCAGCTGACTCGATATACCCATAAGAGAAGGGATGGAGTGTTAGGGGTTCCCATTTCAGAAATTAATTGGAACCAATTTTATTTCTTGAACAAGTGCTAGCGGTGGTGGCGCACGCCTTTAATCCCAGCAACTTGGAGGCAGAGCCAGGCAGATCTCTGTGAGTTCGAGGCCAGCCTGGGCTACAGAGCGAGACCCAGGACAGGCACCAAAACTACACAGAGAAACCCTGTCTCGAAAAACCAAACAAAAGGGACGGAGGGAAGGGGGCCAGAGAGATGGCTCAGTGGTTTGTTAAGGGCAATGCCTGTCTTTGCAGAGGACCTGAGTCCCATTCCCAGCACCCATGTGGCAGCTCACAACCATCTGTAACTCTAGTTCCAGGGCATCCAATGCCATCCCAGGTGGCCGTCAGGCAGACACCTGCTTCACTTGCATGGATGTAGACCAAACACCCACACACATCAAACAGTACCAATAAACAAACAACACCGGTAAGATCTGGGTGTGGCGGCACACCCTCGACATCCTTACCGCTGTTTACCTTCATAGTAAAAGTTCTGAGGCCGCCCTGGCTTGCATGAGACCCTACCTCACAATAACATCCAATAAACATAAAACATGAAACCAGGCCCAAGTTACTGATCTTCTGCATTTCTTATATCATTTCTTTTAAAGTGTATTTGTATCTTATGCGTATGGGTGCTTTGTCCTCGTGTCTGCCTGGTGCCTGGGGAGACGGGAGGAGGGAGTCGGATCCCCAGGACTGGATTTACACACCAGTTCTGACCCCGTATGTAGGTGCTGGGAACTGATTTCTACAAGAGCTGCCCGTGCTTTTAACCGTTGAGACATCTCTCTAACCTCTGCTTTTGTTATTTTACAGGACAGCATGGAGCCGTGTAGCTGAGGCTGGCCCCAAACTCCTGATGTCCTCGACCCCGCCTCCCATAGGCCAGGATTGATTACAGGTATGCTTCACATCTGGCTCAGACACTGTCAACAGCTTGAAGAATTTATTTGGAGCTGCGGATGGGATGGAGATCAGCCGGACGAGTGCTCGCCTAGCATTCTCATCGTCTGCTAAACTGATCGTGGTGGGGCATAATTTGTAATCCCAACACCCAGAGGTGGAAGCAGGAAAATCCTAAATTCAAAATCATTCTCCGTTACATAGGGAATTTGAGGTTAGCCTGCCTTAGTGACTCTGATGGTTTTCTGTTCTGTTTTGGTTGTTGTGTGCTTGCTTTTTTGAGACAGGGTCTCTCTATGTAGCCCAAGCTGTCCTGGAAATTGCTATGTAGCCCAGGCTGGCCTTGAACTCACAGAGAGATCCACCTGCCTCTGTCTCCTGAGGGCTGGGATTAAAGGTGTGCACCACCTGGCTTCAATAAGTATTTTATTTAAACCTAAACCAGATTCAGCTTTAATAAAAAACAAGCCTCTCTACAACATTCATGAAGGCCAGGTGAAGTATTGCATGCCTCTAAAGCCAGGACTCTAGAGGGAGAAGCAGGTGGAGCTCTGAGTTGGAGGCTAGCCTGGGCTACAGAGCAAGTCCCAGACAGCCAGGGCAACACAGTGAAACCTTGCCTCAAAAACAACAGCAAAAATACAGAACATGTCTGCAAAGACATTCCTTCACTCTTTGCCCACAGGTGGCCACTCAAGGCTCTGAAATACGGGCTTCAACGGATGGTACGAGAATTGGACAAAATGAGCTGTCTTCGGGGCACGGACACTTTTTAAGTTATTGATAGCATAGCTTTAGTTAGCTGCGACTGTTACTCATCCCTGGGGGACAACACAAGCCAAGTGAACTATAAAGAACTGTGTGGCAGAGCTTCTTTCTGGTTTATTACCCCATAATATGGATGAGAAGCAGCCGTGACAGGACTCGCTTACCCAGAGAGCAAAGAGCAGGTTCCTAGTCACAGGAGTTCCCTAAAGTGTAGTGTAGGGAGGAAGAGCGAAATGGACCAGTGGTCTCTTTCCCTCTGGGGTTGGGGTGAGGAGCAGAGGGGACCAGAGTGAAGGTTTTTCTTGTAATTATTATTACTACTATTATTATTATTGTTTGCTTTTTTGAGACAAGGGTCTTACTATATAGACCAGGCTGGCCGCAAACTTTTTTTTTTTGAGACAGGGTTTCTCTGTGTAGCTTTGTGCCTGTCCTGGATCTCGCTCTGTAGACCAGGCTGGCCTGGAACTCACAGAGATCCACCTGGTTCTGCCTCCCGAGTGCTGGGATTAAAGGCGTGCGCCACCACCGCCCCGGCTGGCCACAAACTCTTAAAGATCCTCCTGCCTCTGCCTCCCCAGGGCCGGGATTAAAGGTGTGCGCCACTACTCGTAGCTTAAGGGCGGAAGAGGCAGGAACATCCTTGAGCCTGGACCACAGGCTGAGACTCCGCCTCTTAAAGAAAAAGAGAACTTTCTGAAGTAGAGATCAGGCAGTTAGGGATCACTTCTGAGGGTCTGGATAGGCAAGCCCTCCAGGAAACGGGAAAAGTAGATGTAAAATAGACAAATACATTTATAATAATTAAAAAAAAAAAGGAAAAAAAAAAAAGGAAAAGTCCCCGCAAGGTCAGACTTTGCTCCAAAGACCTCAGATGGGAAAGGGAAAGTGAGTCAGGTCCCAGGGGCCTAGGCTGTGGGGCCACCTGAGCTGGCGGCCACTGGACAGGAAGCCACTGAGCTCCTGAAACTCGGCATGGGCAGATGAGGAACTGCGATGGATTTGGACTTTCATTTTACCTTCTCTTATTTCAATGGAAGGAGCTGCACACAGCCAGAGGCCACGGGTCCAGGCTGCTCAGTTGGCCGCACCGTGTAAAGGAGCCTCATTCTGGGGGGCCGAGGCATCCAACCACACATCCAGTCACACGCGTTGGGAGAAGGGGACACCTAGTCTGCTCCTTGCCCCGCTGCCGCCCTCTTTTCGCCCTAGGATGCGCCCACATACCTTGGCCATCCGCTCCTTCTTATCCCACCACTCGTCAAAGGCGCGGAAGGCCACCACCTCCACCATCTTGCGGTTGAGATCTCGCTTCATGATGGCCTTGAGCTCCTTGAGGACCACCAGCAGGACCCCATCCACCGTGGCCTTGTGCGGGTCCTCCTGGCGGGGCACGTAGCCCGGCGGCGGCACGGAGGGGTCGAACTTGGGCAGGGGAGGCCAGTGCTGCCCGCGGCCTGGGCCGCTGTTGCTCAGCGAGAAGGGGCCCCGGTAGGGGGGCAGGTTGACAAACTGCAGTCCGGCCGAGGCGGCGGCGGCCGCGGCGGCCATGAAGGGCGGGTAGGGACAGGCGCCCTGGCCGGTCATCAGCCGGCTTAGCATCTGGGTTTGCATCTGGAAGGACATGGGCATGCCACCCCACTGGCCACCCAGTACGTGGCTCATGTCCACCTGCATCACAGGGAACAGTCCCGGCGGGAAGGGGGGCAGGGGGGGCAGGATGGGTGGCGGGGGGACGCCCGGTGGCGCTGGCAAGGGCGGTGGGGGCACTGTCACTGCGGGATGGGACGGCGGGGGCGGGGGCGGGGGAGGAGGCAGAGGTGGGGGCATGGGAAAGCCAGGCTGTGGGGGTGGCGGTGGAGGGGGCGGGGGCAACGGAGGGAAACCAGGGGGCGGGGGTAGGGGCAGGTTTGGAGCCAACACGTTGGGGGCCGCCACGGCCCCCGCCCCTGGGGTCACCACCATGGGCTTGGGGCAGTCAGCGCTGGTGATGGGGGCCGAGGGCATCTCGTCATCTGAGATCTCCATGTCCTCTCCTGAGGACTGCTGGCCCTGGAAGAGAGCGGTGAGGGTGAGAGCCGGGCTCACAAGCACTTTCCAAGCACCAGGAAGCTGGGGACTTGGGATCAGTACTGGCGATTCCCAGCTGCGGGACGGGGCCTTGTGCAAACCAATCAACGCCCCCCCCCAAAAAAAAAAAAACATACTTTCCCCTTTGGTAGAAGGGGCATCCAAACAGCCATCCATTCCACCAACATCTGTTCAGCACCTGTGTGTCAGGCACTGTTCTAGGCGTTGGGAAGAGGAAAGTGGCAAAGACAGACACCAGTCTTGCTTTGTATGGAGCGGAACTTTTAAGCATAACTAGACCGATGGTGTATCACGGAGAAAAGGAGCGGGGTGGGGAGGGGAAAGATGGGACGTGACACATGGGTGACAAGACACAAGGATGACAAAACGAAGCAGACACAGCCTTAACTGACAGTCGGAGAGAACACAGACACGGGAAAGAGTTAATGGTGCAGCATTTCCCATGCGCCAGGAAAACTGACATCCATTAGGTGGTTCTTAGAACAGCCCTGCAAAGTAGGTTCCTTATCCCCACTTTTACTAATGAGGAAATGCGGATACAGGAAAGGCTGAAGTAACTTCCCTGAGACCACGCAACCAATAAGAGGCACGGCCGGGATTTCAAACAGGAAGTGGCTCCCCAACCTGGCCTCAGTCAGCCAGTGGCCCTCTCCGTGGCCCGCAGGGCCTGGTACAAAAGGTGACCAGTGCTGGCTGGGCGGCTGAGGGCAGCAGCAGCCTTATGGCCTCATAGGGGATTGGGGTTTGTTTGTTTTGAAGTGCTAGGGGCTGGGCCCAGACCCTTGAGCATGCTAGGTAAGTGTTCCGCACAGCCCTAGAGCTGGGCAAGCATGCTCCCACTGAACCCTTTTTTTTTTCCCCGAGACAGGGTTTCCCTGTGTAGTTTGCGCCTTTCCTGGAACTCGCTTTGTAGCCCAGGCTGGCCTCGAACTCACAGAGATCCGCCTGGCTCTGCCTCCCGAGTGCTGGGATTAAAGGCGTGCGCCACCAGCCACCACCGCCCAGCCTGAACCTTCTTAATCTTTGCTCATGCTCATTTCACTTAGGTCTCCTGGGGTCTCAGAAAGGGCTGGCAAGTGGCTGGGAGCGACAGACACCAATGGTCTCGTTCTTTAACTGCAGGGAAACCTCACAGTGGGGCTCCACGTGGGTCCCCTTTTGACAGATGAGGAAGTGAACCAGAGAGCCACAGCTGACAGTGAGAACCAGGGCTGGGACCCATGCTCCAGACGCCTGCCCCATGGAGAGCGGCTGTCAGAACATGCGGAGGTGGAGGGGGGTAGAAGTCAAGGACAACTTGGGCCAAACCGGAAAAAAGAAAGAAAGAAAAAGAAAAAAAAAAAGTGCCACCATGGGGGGAGCTCTTTACTTTGACTTTAGAGTCAGAGGCTGGGAACTGGAGAGAGCCACGGAGCTCCTTTGGTACAGGTGGAGCTGGGAACCCGAGGTAAGGTGAGGCAAGATGAGGTCCAGTCCCACACCAGACCCTGAGTGCGGGTCAGTCCCTACCCGGGGCGAAAACGTTAAGAAAACCAGGCTTGACAGACAGCAAGTACTCTGGAAGGCTGTGAGGTCAGAGGTCACACCACCTGGTGGGGAGGGTCTCAGAGGGGGACACTGGTGGGGGAAGGGAGCATCTAGTCTCTCATCTCCCCTGTACACGCCACGTCTCTACACTCACTCACGTCTCTACACTCACTCACTCTCTGGTACCCGTGTGAGGGCGGGCCAGGCAAGCTCAGCAAGAAGAGAAAGGGCAGATGCCCCACCATCATCAGCTCGGGACAGCACCTAGCACTGTGGAGCAGCACACAGAGGGTTAACCCAGGCCTCTCTCCAGTCAGCCAATCACAGGAGCACCAGGCTGAGCTCTGGCTCTGCCCGCCCCCTCCCTGGGCACAGCGGGTAGGAACCAGCTGGCTGCAGCTCCTGGAGGGCTAGGTGAAGGACGCTTGGACTTCCCAGGCAACGCCATGGTTTCCATGGCGATGGTGAGGCGGGCCTCTTATTGACCCACTCAACAGATGATGAAAACTGAGCCTAGGGGAAGGGGCACATGCCTTCCTCTAGGTCACGCAGGCAATGCGACAAGGCCGCTAAGGCTCTGGGGCTGGAACTTTGTGCTTTTAATCACCAGCCTCTGCCTATCGCGTCCCTCCCCACCGGTGCCCTCCACGCTCGCTCGCCTCAGCCTCAGCCTGGTGCAGGCAGAGCTTTTATCTTAAAACAGGCACCACACACTACCAGACACAGAACCTAGTACTGCTCTCCCGGCGGCCAGCAGGGGGCGCCCGAGGGCCGGCCTGGTGCTCAGCTCTACTCCAGAGCATCCCTGGGCTTCTATCCTGGGGCGCCCCAGACTCCAGCCTCAGTTTCCTCTTCTCCTCCTATACCCAGGGAGTGAGCGTCGGGGGGGTAGGGGTGGTAGAGGCCCATTCCCTCGAGCTACCCTGAGCTCCTGAGCCCTGGACCAGGTGGCTGGCATGATAAACATCCGCCAAACCTAGGCTGCCTAGAAGGGATGGGGGAGGGCCCACAGCCCCGCTAGTTCTTGTACACCTGTCAGCTCCCCCTGCCTGGACCCTTGAAGCCAGAAACCACTTCCCCAGAACTGCTGGCAGGCTCCCAGGGGCCTCCGCCACCTGTGGCCCCCCGGACACCCAAGGTTCTCTGTTCCTTTCCAGGCAGCCAGAGGGGCTTAATGCGAGGGGCGAGAGAACCTCATCTCTGTGTCCACAGGGGCAGAGGGGCTGTATCTCAAGCTTCTACTTGTTCAATGCCTGCTGGACCCAGTGATGCCAGGGGCCTGACCCAGGATGAGGAGTGAGTGGAACCCCAGGGGTGATGACACAACCCTTCTCTCCCCCCGGAAGACCTGGACATTATTATTAGCACCTTCACCTTCCCAGCTCCGAAACTTCTGAGACTGGAGGTCTGAGCAATGAGATGGAGTGAAGAGGCAGGGCGAGGGGAAAATGTGCCTGATTTACGGCTGCGTTCCCTCTCCAAAGCTAACTTGAACTCCTTGCCTCTAAACGTCTACAGCGGAAGGAAGAGGAAGCCGACTACATCACTTGCATGCATGTTTCCTCATCGCCTCGGAGCACTAGACTCTGAGAGACAACACTTGGGAGCGCTTGCCGGGCCAGCGCCACACAGCACCCTGGCCAGCCTCCAATACTCCTGAGCAACAGGGACTGAGATCATTCCTAAGCCACTAACAGAAAATGCCCTGGACCGGCGACCACAGCTCATACTCCTCCGGGTCTCTGAAAACTCCATTCAAACTCACACTCAACCACGGTGAAGAGTCTGGGCTCTACGTCCACGCAGGACGGCAGAACTGTGACCTGGTCCCATTGCACAGACACACAGAATCAATCCCAGACAGAACAGACATGGTGGTACCTCATCCATCCTCTCTGAGGTCGGGGTCCTGTCTCCTGCCAGGTCCAAAGCCGCCTCGGCTGTCTGGCCTACAAGACCCATAGGGTCTGGGGGGCCCGGCTCAGGGGGGGGCCGAGGCCCCAGGCCCAGGCCCAGGTCATCGTCCTCATCAGAATCAGGCAGTGGTGTCGGGCTGATGTCCTCTAGACCTGTGCTGGAGGGCCGCGAGGAGGGCGGTGAGGGGCCGCGGAAGCCAGGCTGCGAGTTGGTGCCGAAGTGGGTGAGCGGGGAGAGCTGGGAGGAGGAGGAGGAGATGGGGCTGCCCTCCATCTGGAGCTCGGTGTCTGAGTCCTGCTCGCGCAGGAAGGGCAGCTTGGTGCGCTGCTCTTTCAACAGCATCTCAATGCGCGAGTCCAGGCTGTCGTGGGGCTTCTCCGGCCCCGCAGGAGATGACTCCAGGGTGGGTGTGCCCGGGCTGTCGCAGGGCTCAGGACTCCAGCCGAAGGTCGGCCTACCGCCCAGCTCCATGCTGTTGTGGTCAGGGGGTGGGGGGCCAGGAGGGGTGCCCGGCTTCTCCTTGGCCGGAGGTTCCGACGGCGGTAGGGGTGGGGGTGCGGGTGCCCTCCGGAACTCCCCGCTGTCACGGGTCCCAAAGGCTGCTGCAGCAGCGGCGGCGGCGGTGGGCTCCTCGGGGGGCGGGGGGAAGGGGGGTGCGGGAGTCTGATACGGAGAGAAAGCTGACTTGAATCCAGAGGCAGGGGCTGCTTGGGCAGGAGGTGGAGTGTGGGCAAAGGAGGCCGAATCCTGGGGCTGGGTCTTGAAGGGGGGGCCGCTGCTGGCTCCGCCGCTGCCAAAGGGAAGGTCTGAGGAGCCTCGGAAAGTGGTCGTGGCTCCCGCCACGGCAGCCACGGAGGAATTGTGGACATAGTGATGCTCGTGGCGGCGGTTGTAGGCATCGGTGAACTTGCTCTCATGCCGCCGCGCCTTGAAGGTGGCTGTGGGGTCCTGGCCGAAGAGGTAGGAGGGTGTGGGCTGGCGACTGGAATAGCTGGAGTCTTGGGAGAAAGGGGTGCCCAGGCGAGGCGTGAGCGGGGTGCCTTGTCCGTAGGAGTTGGGGGTGTCCAGGCGGCAGCTGGAATAAGCTGTGTCCTGGGAGAAGGGGGTCCCGCCGCTGTTGGGGGTGACGGAGGAGGAGCCAGAGCCACAGCCTGCAGACAGGCTGCCATCCTTGAGGCGCTTCAGAGCATCTGACAGCTACAAAGAGAAAGAAAAGAAGTCCCAGGAGTGGAGGGATGGTAGATCCATGCAAGGAAACGCAGTGGGTCTCCTCTAAAACTCTGGCTGCTGGGGAGCTTGGAGCCCACGACTTTCCAGTAGAAGGAAAGATGTGTTAGGAAGCTCCTAAGTTTTTCTCTCTCCCTAGGGTAGATGTTTACCCTCTGGACACTTTGAGGGCTTTCTCTAATCCCCCAGGCAGAAAGAGAAGACTCTGTCCAGCTTGGTAAAGGCTGGCATTTCCTTCCCACCTCAGGACATCTGACATTAAAGGGCGTTGGGACAGAGATGTAACCAAGAACTGTGGTCTTGGGCTTGATGGACTGTCCTGAAAATTTCTAGAGATTTAAACAGCGTGACATAGGACGAGTGGACCCTGCTTGGCAGGTAAACAGACTTTAATAACCCTCTGAGGGGTCCCCAGAGCAGGTTGAAACTGTGGGTGGCTGGAATTGGCCAAGTGAGTGTCCTGGTAGGCAGGGGGGCTGAGAAAGAGGCAGTCTGTTCTGGAAGAGGCTCTGAACCCTGCTTCCTGGAGACAGCAGTACAGGGAAGGCCAGACACCGGACGCTAAGACCAGAACACAGCAATGTTCTGACATTCATATGGAAAAGCAACCCCAGGTCCATGGGAATCCCAGTATAGACGGAGGGCAGAATGGGAAGAAGGACTCCCTGTGGACTGAAAGCTACAGGGAGCAGAACCAATCCCAGAGGAGACATGTTGTAGAAGATCTTGGGAAAACAGGGTTTTTAGACCGAACCTACAGGTGTACTCAGGCCTCTACAGTCAGAGGTGCTGAGCCAGAGAAGCAACCGTGAAAAACCTACCTGCAGGGTCTCGTTCACAATTGGAGAAACAGCATCCAGCTCACCCACTGGGAGGGTCTGGGGGGTGTACCGGCCGGTGACCAACAGTTCATAGAAGCGCATGCGAGTTTCCCCTGTAACAGGCAGGGGAGAGGGGTATCCATGGAGGCTCCAGCAGGAGACATACCCATGTGGTTTCCAACTTGCTTATTAGCATCTTCATGGGTCCCCTGTGCCTGAGACCACAAGCTTGGGGACACTGCATGTCCCCTGCTTAGGTTCCTACCCTCCCTTGTACTTCATTCATTCATTCTCATCTGTCCAAAAGCTACAAACCTGGTTGTTCTGACCCTGAGACTCTAAGGTTAATGCCTTGTTGGGTAGAGACTCCCCAAAACCCAAAAATGCCATCCTCAGTGCAAAGTCCTTTTCATTACCTAGACCATAGATAGTTCCCAAAGAGTCATTATTACCTCCCATCTCCCCACAGTCTTTCAACACGTAAATAGTGCTCGTAGCAAGGACAGAGGAAGTCAGGTGACACACAGTGACTGTTAACTATCTGGGGCCAGGAGACCAGCAAAATCTGTCAGACACACATATCCCTGTGAGTCAACTGCACGGTGCTTTTCACCAGCTGAAACCTCCGGAGGGCCCCAAGTCTGCCTGGGGGGACTACCTGGGGCCCACATGGTCCCAATGAGCCCTAAGTTTACCTCCCTACCCATCAGAGAGAGAGTTTTACCAACCAGGCCCCAGATCAGTTGGTATTTATAGTCTTAGAGGTGGTTGCTTACATATGCAAAGGAGGTACATTCCTTGAGCTACACTTTACACTTTGCTGGTCTCTTTCTCGAAATACAATCTCAAACTTCGGTGGTAGTATCTGAGGGTTGGCTTGTTTTTTTTTTGTTGTTGTTTTTTTTTCAGAAATGAAATTGTGGTAAGTCTTAGCTGCTCTTTAAGATGTGGGCAGGTGATGGGGAGGGACTGCATGCTTCAGTCTTGGGGGAAATTAGACTTCAGCTTATTGTAAGAACGAGGAGTAGATTTAAAAGCCTGTTCTCACTCGTACTCACGCTCACGCGTGTGCACACACACACACACACACACACAAGCTTTATTAGAGAGTGAGGAACTAGGAAAAAGGGGAGCGGGAGAGCTGTAGATCGGACAAACATAACAAGCTTATGACATATGACTGGGCCCAGGCTCTGCAAGCCGGCCAACCAAATTCACTCAGAACTACCACAACCCTTTGCAATACCCAGCATAGTGTCTTAAGAGATGCAACTACGGGCTGGAGAGATGGCTCAGAGGTTAAGAGCACCAACTGCTCTTCCAGAGGTCCTGAGTTCAATTCCCAGCACCCACATGGTGGCTCACAACCATCTGTAATGAGATCTGGCACCCTCTTTCGTATACATAATAAATAAATAAATCTTTAAAAAAAAAAAAAAAAGAGAGATGCAGCCACCACGTAGCCATCATTGAAAGCAAAACAAAACCGAGTTAAGTTTTCCTGTCTTGCCTTTGCTGTGCTCAGGGATTCACAAACCCAGTGTGCAAAACACCCCTGGAGCTGGTCCTAAACCCTCTCAGGCAGGGTTCACAGGTCTGCCACCGCCCCCACCCCCCACAACTCGGGACTTAACCTTAGGACCACGGGACTAGGGACGCCCTGGTCCCAGAGCGCCCTGTACTTTCCTTCACATCGGAAGGAATCTCTCAGAAAGGACACAGGCAAACCAATTTAGGGGGAAGGCTCTCTGAGTCTCTGCCAGGTCTTTCTACCTGAGTTTTGAGCCAGGACTGAGGCTGAGGGCAGAGCCAGCAAACCCTGGAGGTAGGGAGGTGTGCCTCCCCAGCCCGGCTCAGCAAACCAAGGTGCTGCGGTCTCTTTAAGAGAGAGAGGAGGGAAGTGTCAACCCTTGAGCACCCAGAGCAGCCCGCCCCCAAGATCTACTACCAGAGTTATCAGAACATTATCAATGAAACACTCCGGGGCTCAGATTGGTTCAAGGAAGGGGCACCCGGGAAGGTCAGGGGTTAGGGGGAGGGGGGCACAGCACCCTAGATCCTGGAGGAGTGACTTTTACGAATTTAAAGGCACATGGTTCTTCCTCTGCCCCCTTACACATAAACAAATGCTTCCTTCTCCCCGAAGGCAGGCAGTCACACTAGGGGCTGTCTAACCCCAGGCCACTGGGACTCCGAGAGAGGGGGCCCACGGGGGTGTCATAGGTAGGGAAACCTCCGGGTGGTCCCTAAGGGTGCCTCGGCCAAGGACTGGCACATTTGGTAAATTATAGCCCTGTCTCCTAGCAACAGACAACACATTTGGCTCCATGTGACTCTGCCCTCCGGAGGGGACAAAAAAATAAATAAGGTGGTGGGGGTGGGGGTGGGAGAATCCCAAGGAAGAGGGGAAGGAGGAGATTTCAAAGGAAGGGGGTCAGGCTGACAGGCGGCCTTCCAGCTCCTCCCCCATGGGCGGCCTAGAGGCCTGCACTAACCTTTGGTGTCCAGCTCCACGTGGATAATGTTGCCCATGACAGAAGTACTATGCAGGTGCTGGACCGCCTCCTTGGCGCCCCTGACCGTGGCAAAGACCACCTTGGCAATCCCCAGGTGTTTCTTGGTCTTCGGGTTATACAAAATCTCCACCTCTTCCACCTCCCCATACTTTTTGCACATGTCCCTTAGGAAGTTTTCGCGGATGTTGTCATTCAGCTTGGCAAATGTCACCTGCTTCGGAGGCACAGGGCCCACGTAGAACTCATCGATCTGGCAGGGGCCGCGGGGGAAGGGAGTTTGGAAAACATTAAAACCAAAGAGAAAACACAGACACTCCTCTCACTTGCCCAGCGGTTAAAAAACAATAAAGGGTGAATTTTTTTTTTTTTTTTGAAAAAAGAAAAAAAAAAGCATGCGGGCGGGCCTGGGAAGCGGAGGATTAAATCGTTTGGAACCTGGAAGTCCTCTGGGTTCTAAAGGAAAGGGGAAAGAGAAACAGTTTCTCTTTCCCCACCCCCTATTCTGGCCTCCAGTCCTTGCTGCTGGTTCCGGGACGACCCCCTGGTCTAGGAAGTTGTCCCCTTAAAACCCAAAGGGATGGGAAAGGGGGCGGGTCCCTGAAACAGGCCCCTGGGCGCACAGGACCCAGATGGGGACCCAGAGCCCCCTGGCTCCGCCAACAGGACTCTGTATCAGCGCCCTCGTTACAATTTCTCCGAGTGTTATTTTGTTTACAGTGGCCGGGAGGGGACACCACTCTCCCCCCCTCCCCGCCAAAACTTCCCAGTCCTGGACGGCGGGAACTCAGAATCCGGCTGGGCTTGGTCAGGACTGGCGTTATTTTCGAACTCGGGGAAGGGGGGAGGGACCAAAAGACCGAGAGGAGGGGTCCCTACCTTGAATTTGGGCACCGACAGCTCCAGCTCCTTGGTTTTGGTCCAGATTCCGACCACCCGGGGATCTTCCACGATTTCCACCGGGCGGTTGCTGGACATCTGTGGGCAGGGACAGGGGGCTCAGTATGGAAGGCTGGCACCCTCCCCAGGGGCAGGGGCAGATCCCCCCCTCTCCAGGCACCAGTCCCACTCCAGGCTGAGGGGGGAGCCCTGGCTGACAGTTGGCCAGGTGGCTGGGAGAGGGGTCTCCCCTCCATTCGCCTCTGTCTGGGGGCTCCACCGGAGATGGGTGGGGGTGGCGGGAAGGCGCGTCGGCTACTCACCGCCAGGCTGAAATGCTGCCCATCGTAGCGGTACAGTTTATGGTGCCCCTTTTTCAGAGCCGGGTCAATCATCAACTTGTAACTTCTCCAATGGTGGTTCCTCCTCTCGCCCGAAGGGCCGGGCTGCGGCGGGGGCTGCTGGTGGTGGTGGTGGGGGTGACTGTTCTCCATGCCGTTAACCCAACCTGAAAACCAGCAAGTTGTTGTCCTCTCCGCCGCTTCTACACATTCGCCAAAGAATCCAATCGGCTGGCCCCCACCCCCTCCCACCTTACCAGCGCGCCCCGAAAGCTTGTCTCGCTGGCTCTCCCCCCCCCCTCCCCCGTAAGGAAAAAAAAATAAGAATGGAGCGAGAGAATAAACCCTTTCCGGAGAATTTACGCGCCCGCCCGCTCGGCCACCGTCTCCGGCTGCCAGCGAGGGGCTGCCCGGGGCCCCCTCTGCGGGCTGGCGCGGTCCGGGGCGCACGGAGG